ACGCACAATTTTCAAAACTTTTGGCTTACTTGCCTAATTTTGGAAGACTTTTTTACTAGAATTTTCCACATCGTCCATCCCCTGTATGAATCAATCTGAACATGTAGTAGTACATGAGAAGAGGATGATATCAACATTTTATAAATGTTGTTATAGTATTCTGCATTCAGCTTGCAGGTGTGTCAATTCATTATTTTTCTGTTATCTTTGAATTCTTTCTTCCTTCAAGAAAGACCACAATTATGAACACTCTGTTTTCTAACAAGATTATTTTTGTTTTTTAAACTCTGCTTCTACTTTCTATGACGTTGAAGACAAAAGAAAAAACTCTATTACGCTATTCTAGTTCTATTATATTACGCAATTCATCTTGAAAAGTCAGCTCGCAGTCCTAGGTGAATCGATTCATTATTTTTTTGTTATCTTTGAATTCTTTCTTGAAGTTAGGATCCTTTTTTGAATCCGAGAAAGCGTATCTCAATCGCTCCAATTGTTCATCCTAATTCCTACCATTACAGCCTACTTTTTTTATCTGACTCGGTTAATGTTTATATCTTATAGTATAAATCCTTAATCCTTTCACCATGTTTAATCCCCTTGCCATCTTATATTTGAAAATTGAAAGCCTTTTACCATGCTATAGTGTGCTCTGTACTTAATCGGATGCTCTACATTGTTGTGATTGTCAAGCTTTCTATGTTATATATTACTGGATACTTTAAATGACACTTTGCTGAAAATCATTTCACGATGAGGTCCATGAGGAAAATTAATTAGCGTTGGGCCTATATACTAACCTTCCAAAATAGAGTTTTTTTTATGATGCATGCACCATTGTTTTCAAAACTGAACTGGTTTCTAATTTTTATAGTTCAACTAGTTAAACCAATCAAAATATCAGTCTGACAACTTGTAAACTATTTAACTAATAGATGTAGAGCCAGGATTTAGTTATGGACAAGTTTTATACATTATATTTATATAAAATTTTAATCATTAATTTTTTCATTTTCGATGATTGATATTTATCATGATTTTTTTAATTAAGAAAAATAATTATATTTAATAAATATGATAAAAAAGAATAAAGCACAACCATTAAAAGTAGAGAAATAAATAATGAAAATTTTGTATAAGTGTAGTATATAAGATTTGTATGTAAGTGTAGTGTGTAAAATTTTTGTATAAGTGTAGTGTAAAATTATAATCATTCATCTCTCCATTTTCGATGATTGATATTTATCATATTTTTTTAATTGAGAAAGATAATTATATTTAATAAATATGATAAAAAAGAATAAATCACAACCATTAAAAGTAGAGAAATAAATAATGAAAATTTTGTATAAGTGTAGTATATAAGATTTGTATGTAAGTGTAATGTGTAAAATTTGTGTATAAGTATAGTGTATAAAATTTATATGTAAGTGAATCTCTACTCATATATATATATATGTGTGTATGTGTGTATTTATGTTTATGTAAACTATATTACTCCCTCTATTTCAAAATAGTAATTTTTTTTTATCTTTTTCCTCAAATTAAAGTTTAAGGACAATATTTATATCTATATATAATATCCTTACAAAAAAATAAAAAAGAAAATGAAAAAGAATTTTTATGATAGGATGATTAATTAAAATGAATAAATAATGATAAGGTTAAAGTATATAAAAAATATTTGTCTACCTTAAAAAAATGAAAAAATGACAATTAATTTTTGATAAATTCTAAATAATGATAAAAAAAAAAACAAAATATTATTTTGTGATAGAGGGAAAAACTTTGAGGGGATGTGTTCAAACCTCCTTAGTGACATTTTGTTTCCTTAGTGACATTCTGTTACAAAATTTTTGCCAATTTTTGAGTCGGACGGCTCAAATGGTTCATTGGTTTTTCTGCTTCACTCTAATTCCAAGTTGTTTAACCATTTGAGTGGTTTTATATATAATTGGATCAAATTCATGATTGTCATCAATTCAACCAATCAGACCGTCCAGCCCAACCTAATTTTAAAAAGATAATAATTAATATATCCTCTAGTTCAATACACCAACCAATACTTATCAGTTCAGTCATTAAATCTTATAAGTGTAATTTTTCTTATTTTGAATTTAAATTTGAAAATAATATTTTACTAATCAATATATTGTAAAGTTTGTTGAATTAAAAGATATATCAATTATTGTCTATTTTAAAAATGCTGGTATGCACTAAGTAGTCCAACCTGCAAGAAATAATTAAGAAGAGTCTAAGAAAAACAAATGGCCACAAGCAAGCAAAAGGTTAAATCTTATTTTTGGATCATTTTTTCATATAACATTATTTATCATTAATAATAGGCTCTTTTCACTCTATTAAAATTAATAATGTTGTATATATTCATTTAATGAACTCTTTTCCCTTTTCTCATAATATAAGTCAATGAAGATCACAAAAAAAAATAGTTTAGATCAAATGGAAGAAAAGTTTTTCTTAACAGGAGGAGGGCGGAAGTTTGAACTTCTCCGTTACCATTTAACATTTTTCTTCAAATTTAAAATTTTTAATTTTTCATTTTATTATAGAAAGTACAAGAAGTAAGTTATGCCCATTTAAGGATGTCACAGGTAAAACCAAAGCAAAATATCTCACATGCATGCATAACTGTATTATTCAACTGCCAATTAAAATAAAAATAAAATTGACTAATATAAGGTGAGAAGTGAATGCTATGTGAGTTTCTTCATGAGAGTCGCTGCTATATATTCTTTACCTGAAGTTATTCAATCGAAGTATGAAATTACACTAAATTTTGAAGCTAGTCTTTTTAGCAAGGTTGTAAAAATGTCTTTCATTGATATCTTTTGCTCGGTGGACATTTGTAGAAAGTTCTTAATGGAAGTGGAATGAACTTGCCTTTCCCTAAAATTGAAAGATAAAAGATACAGAGAAGTGAATATTGATGAGCTACCTAGGGAATCTACAGATACTGGAAATTTTAGTTTTGAAATCCATGTTTTATCTGTATGATGTTACAGCTTACAGGGGCAGTGACCATGCACTACCTTATGGCTCAAAGTTGTCGAGCAAAAGAACCACATGCAAGACCTTTAACTCGGCTATATTGATTTGTATCTGTTACGTATGTTTTTGCCTTTGGCTTCTTGCTTCCAATGATCTCACCATACAACTATCTCTGTTGAGATGATTTTCTTTGTTTTTGTTTTTTTTTTTTTTTTCAAATAATAGCGGCGGGAAAAGATTTGTGAAGGATATGTCTCATGGTTATGAAGTTTTCCTGATTGGTGACTTACATTGATTTATAAAAAATTCATATATCCAGAAATTTGTTAGGGAGGATCAACGTCAACTCGATCAATTGTCTAATACTTAGATTTAGACAATAAAATATTTATCATGCTTTATAGAAAATTCAGCTTTGGAATTTGACCTTATATTATTGATTCACTGGCCTTTTAAGGCACTTTTTTTTTTAGATTTTAAAAGCAAGGTTAAATGATACATTTTAAATGAAAATTTGATATTAATGATAATAAATACATAAATTTTTTTACATATTATAGAAGCAGGACTTCAAAATCTTTATTGAAAGATCTAACTAACCAAAAAATAGTTAACAATAAAAAGTTTAATTTAATAAAATAAGATCGAAATTATTTGAAAAATCATACACAAGTTATTTTTTGTTGTTTCTATTTTATTTTATTTTTTAAAAACAATATTTTCATGGGCAGGTTAAAACCCGCCCAAGGAGAAGGGGGGTGCACCTCAAAATGGCCAAAAAACTATTTTTTGTTGTTTAGTTGAGCCTAATAAAATAAAATTTGATTTTATTTAGTGTTACATTTCACAATTCTAACAATACTATACTTTAGATACATAACAATTGAACCAAATAAAAAAATGCTTGAGATATTAATAATGAACAGGTTGGATCCGGATGCATCTCTTGTTACTACCATGTCTACTTCTCAGAGCAAAAAAAAAATTTGCTCTACTTATTATGTTCACGTGTCCAGATTACATTGTCTTTATGGACTGAATGGGCTCCACCAAATGAATTTTGTTTGCCATGTGGGTACTCCAATTGGTCAATTAACAAGTCAAACTTAGAGTGGCTGCCAGCCCTTAGTGCCATAGTGGTAAGGTAGTGTCTAGTTAGTGCTCACTGCACCCAAAGGAAGGGGCACACCCTGCTGGGCCTGCACCATATGGTGACTTGCTCGCATTCACATGCATTCTCTAGTAGTATCTTCAGTGGATAAAAGTTAAAAACCCCAATTTAAAATTTTCATATTCTAATTTTAAAACAGGGAACGAAGTCCTCAAATCTTGCTCCTTCATCGTCAATATCACCGATAATCGTGGGGTTGAGATTAATTTAAGGATATTATTGTTACTGGTTCAAGTGATGTTATAGGTATAATTTTTTTATATTATTTTTTTATATAATTTTTAAATGTTACTAAATGAGTAAATACATTTAATATCACAAATTTTATATAAATTAAAAAAATTAATAATTTTAATAACACATTAAATTATAAAATAAAAAAAAACAAAAAAATTGTATCAAAAACATTTCCCTTGCTGACTCTGTTAACAGTATCATCGAAAACTTAATAAAGAAAGATCTAAAATCTCTTTAAAAACCCTGATTTATATTCGTTTTAATTCACGACGGAACTGAAGATGGCAATACCGGAATCTTATCAAGATTCCATAGAAGACATACTCCCCCAGCTACCCGTTAAGCCCCTCGTAAGATTCAAGTGCGTTTCCAGGTCATGGTGGTCTCTCATTTCGAGTCCCCTGTTCACCAAAACACACTTAAAACGAGCATCGCAGGACACCAAGCTTAGTGCTCAAAGGATTCTACTAGCAACATCTACCCGTCTCTGGTTTTGGACCCTGAAAAATCTATCAGCCCTTCCAACGGAAATGCAATTGTAGTGTTTGATTATAAATTGAAAATAAACAAGAGTCAAGCACGAATTGTTGGTTCATGTAATGGATTGGTATGCTTAGCTCTTTCTGATAAGTTCATCAGCGAGCGCTACCGAGTGAAATGTTTGTCTCTCACTAACGAAAATGATTTGGTCCTCTGGAATCCATCAACAAGAGAACGTAAAAGGTTACCAAATCTATGTACTCCGGATGTCAGGTCTGTTCTATGTCATCGGGTGTGTTAAATCGAAAGTGTCTGTATCAGTTTTTTTTTTTTTCTTTTTCTTTTTCTTTTTCTTTCTTGTACTAATATAGGTATTCAAGCTTTTAATCCGACTAATTATTTTGATTGTCAGGGATATCCATGATTTGGTTATGATTCATCATCCGATGATTATAAAGTTGTTTTGATTCATGCTCCTTGGACTGCAATGAGTTTGTCTAATTCTATGTCTATAGTGAAAGTTTCAATTTTTTCACTGAAAGAAAATTCCTGGCGAATTTTTGGAGGAGAAGTAGATGACTTCAGGGCTGGCGTCAAGAGGGCAACCTTTCTGAATGGAGCACTTCACTGGCGTTTTGCTAGTCATATTTACGGTTTTGATTTAGCAAAGGAAACATTCTTCAAGATTCAATTTCCAGCTAGTTGTGTCCCCCCCTTTGATAAGGGGTTGGGGGTTCTCAATGGTTGTCTTTGCTTCCTCAAAGCTCCTGATTACGACCCTGAGATAGGGGTAATGGAGGAATATGGGAACCCTGAATCTTGGACTAAACTATTGCTTTGTGATTTTGATTGTCGTGATATCCTCAGGCTTTGTTATTTTCCTGGTGGACTTTATAACTATCATGAACATTTCCCTGTTTCCCATGCACTACTCTGCATTTCAAAAGACGATGATGGCAGATTTGTATTAATAGATGATGCTCGGGAGAACATTACTCGAAAGGATTGTCATCTGTAGTGACCCAACTGCAAAGCGTGAGGCAGTTGTATATACTGAAAGCTTAGTTTCGCCAAGCAATACACATGATTAATGAACTCCCCATTCAAGGATTTTGCTGCTTTTGATTTCAGTATAGCAGCTTCTGATTATTGCATTAAACCTATCCTCTTCAATTCTAGGTCTTTAATCCTTCAAGATTCCATAATTACAGAAGATATGCCATTCCTCTTGCTACCGAAGTTTATTACTCTCACAGAAGCAGTCATCTCTGCTATGGTCCAAGGATATTGTTTAGTGATGTGGTGAGTCCACAAGCATCACAGCAAAGCATGATGCTGTTAAAGACATCATCTCAGAAGGTGTTTCTTGACTTTCTTCACTTGCGCAAGTGAGTGATCCACTCATCAACAAGGTTTGCCCTTGCTCGCTCACTCCGCTAACAGAGAGTGCCTTTTGAATCTGTATTTGTTGGCTGAAGGACCGAAGTTTGTTACCATCTAAATTGCTGAGACCTAGAAATCCTTTCAATATTAGTGAATTGCCATGATTTTGCATGTTAGTGTTCTCGTTACTATATATCATTTATCTAAATAATCAAATCCAACAGGGTTGAATTTCACTCCTTTTTTTGTCTTTTATTAAACGCAAAGAACCTTCTCTACATAGAAACCTAATCGAATTCATGCACAAACTTCAGAAGTATGCTTGAGTGATTCAGGAGGACCATCATCCAATAACCTCTCACATCAGTTGCAGAATAATGACATTTGTTTTGGGTTTCTCTAGCTCTTGCAAACTCTTGTGTATTCGAGACACGAAAGTTAATAAATTACTAAGACAGGCCAAACATTTCCTAGGAGAATGATTTCAGAATTTGAGTTTAAAGATTTGACATAATTCCCTATGGATTATTTGACTATCAATCAACTTGAGAACTATGGTTGATGTTCATGTAAAAGGGTTTGAGTACCCCTTGTACTCAGGATAGTAATGGATCTTTTGCTGTTCAAAAAAAAAACTTGAGAACTATGGTAAGGAATATAAATATGGGTTTCAAGTTATGCCCATTTTGTTGTGGCTGATGAGGTTGGTGTGATTAGGACATGTTGCTCATATTCAACGAGATATCATACAAGGGATTCTAGAGAGCGCGTCCTGCCAAGTTGCTGCCAGCAAATGCCAGTCATGCAAGGGAAGTGGAAATTGATCATGGAATGACAACAACCGAATTGGACATCTTCTTGTCTTTATCATGCCATTGTTGACTGATCTCAACTTGCATTGTTGTTGGGAATTTCTGGTGCACACTGGGAAAACAAAATTTCTGTTTTGTTGATGATGATGCTTGAAATAATGAATATTTTATTGTTGTTGGATGATTAATCTGGCTTTTCTGAGTTAAAACAATCTTTCACCAGAGAATGATTACAACTGTTGCAAGTTTTGAAGATTACGGCTTTAAAATAAGATTGCTCTTACAATTCCACAGAGAGGGAACGTCTGAACACCTGATACAAGGATATAGGCCTACCCATTGGGCGCTTATGATGCAAGGTCCTAGTACCTTCTCGTTTTGATACATTTAAAAGAAATTATAGTGTCTGTTAACCATTTCGAATATCTTTAGCCCTTTCTTAAATTTAGAATTGAAGTTTTGATGCCAATGAGTATCAATTCGCTAAGGTCTTGCAGGATTTCATTTACCAAGAAACTGCTTGATAAATGGGGAGTGGTTATTCCGCACTGGAAAGTGTTGGGGACACAAAAATATGTTTTTTTTTTTTTTCCTTAAAAAGCTAGTTACAATATTTAGATACTTCACTTTTTTATTGATATTAATCTGTTACTTAATAAATTTTAATTATTTTCTTAGATTCTATTTAATGTGGTTGTAATTTTAAATTTTTGATTAAATTTTTTGTTTTGTTTTTCAAAATTTTAAAAATATGACAATGAAATTAAGATTTTTTATAAATTAATTAAATTTAAAATTTTAGATATTTATTTTAAAATTTTATATCTAATAAGTTAATA